AAAAAAAAAAAAAAAAAAAAAAAAAAAAAAAAAAAAAAAAAAAAAAAAAAAAAAAAAAAAAAAAAAACGAGCTCGCCAAACGCAGAGCGTTGACGCATCCACGCATCCGCAGTGATCCGTCTTTCCTCGCTTGGAGCTGCAGCAAAGGATCTACACTCACGGAATTGCGACCTATCCCGGCATTGTGTCTCGTGACGATCCTGAACATCCTGGGTCGTGTGACAGGTGCGTGTCTGTCGTTCTGGAAAAACGCATGCCGAAGCTGATGACAGCCTTGCGCGCCTGCGTCTGCAGAGGTGCAAGAAGCTGCCAATCGCCTTTCTGCATTGTGCATCAGGCTCTTTGCAACTTCAAGCCTGCAGCAGCTTCGATCTGCGCTGCCAGTGATTGCGATGTATCTTGTCGACTCGAGCCGTGAGTGCTGCTATGAGACGCAGGTCCCGCGACGGACCGATGCTGACGGTCAAGATACTGGTGTGCAGCGGATGTTCAGCAAGCTGCTACCGTGCTCTTTGACGCCATCTTAGAGGCATTGCCGCAAGCGGCCATCGATGGACTCTGCGACGAGTGGCAGCCACGATGTAAGTTGTTGTGATCTTTCGATCACTCCGCGACCGTCCGCTGATACTGCGACTTGTTACGGCATCCAGTGCCGCCCCAGACCAACGAGAGCTTGCCTGTTCAGGAGCCAGTGGCGGTTGCATTATTGGGTTTCATAGCAGTGCGAAAATACAAGCTACTTTCGCCTACCTTGCTCAAGGACGTTTCGAGCTGCATCTCACTCTATCTGTCCGAAACCGCCAGCACGGCTGAAGCTACGCACCAACAAGCCATAGCTATCGAACTGTGTTGTCAAGGATTTGTGATCTGGCAACACTACCTTGACGCGATGGACGTTGTCCGCTCGTTGTTCAGCCTCGCAACTTACAAGGATTCAGCCTCGGCAACAGGTGGTGTTGATGCTGCGCCGCCTCTTGCTGCTGTGCCAGACAATTCGGCGAATCGCTTGCTAGCGAGACAGGCTACGTTGCAGATTGCTGTCGACAATACCCCGCTGTTCATGACCACCCTGTCTTTGGACATCCTACACGCCCGCTCGCCTGCTCACTGCAGCGCGACGATGAGGTGAGTGGACTTCGTTTGACAGTGATTGTTCGAAGGCATCGGGGCTCTAAAGCTGATTTACCACGACGCATTCGCTGCTGATCAGGCTCGTCGCTTTCATGGTTCGTCGGGTGAGTACGCTGCAATGCTCGATGCTTCAGAGGTCCATGTTGCTGAGTGGAACTTCCGGCCGTCACAGAAACCTTTAATCCTCTATCCGAATCTGCCACGGCTCGCAGAAGCTGTCGTCAAAGTGAGAAGCAGTGCCAGATGTTTGTTGGCGCCCAAGTATGGCGTGGCTCACATGTGCTTCGGCACGCAGTCTCTTGATCCCACGCAGACAGCGATGCGAGAGGCTGTGGTGCAAGCTGCGACGGTGATGATCTCGGAGCTGGTGCGCACGTACCGAACGATCTCTTTCCACGCAAAAATGCAAAGGCTTGCAGTAGGTACGCACGAAGGTGCAGTGATCATGTACGACCTCAAGACGGCGACGAGGCTCTACGTCATCGAGGGTCATCGAGCGGGCCTTTCGGCACTTGATTTCTCGCCTGATGGGAGACGTCTGATCACCGTCAGTCTAGGTGACTCCAAAGCTTTGATTTGGAAAGTTGGAACTAGCCTGGGAAGCTTCTTCACCCCCGGAACACTGCCTCGACAAGGCGGAACGGATGATAGCGGAGCTTACAAGTCCATCGACTTTAACATTGGACATGGTGAGTGCCCGTCCAGATTTCCACCGCGAGGGATAGAGATGATGCTCAGCACGAAGTTTGCTTCCATGCCACGCAGCGCTCAATGCTCTGCCCACCGAGTCTTTGGAGGCCGTATCGCTCGAGTGGCAGGGAGACCGCGGAGTGCGCTTGAACGTGGGAGACGCCAGCATGTCCTTCTCGGTCGCTTGACGTTGGTCTTTGTCGACACTCTTATACCACTTGCCTGTCGTGACGGCGAGCACTACTTCGTCTTTTCTCTGTACTAGTATCTTGCATTCCCCTAAACTCGTGCTTGCAGGCCCTTGGTAGCGAAGCGTCGATACAGTGAAGACATGCAGCATCTCCAGCAGCGTACGGTGAGGAGAGAGAAATGGATTACTATGATACAACGTATCGAGGCGCATACAGACGCTACATGTGCGCACATGCTCCTTGACCAGGTGGCTGATCCTGTGTCTGTCTCCTCGCCGAACGTTTGTTCTTGCCCCCGAGCGATGCCGGTGGCCAAGGTTCGCCATCCCTAAACTCCTCGGTTTGCGCAGCTGCCGGATCTCCGTGCATCATGGAGGCTGTTTGTGCAGTATAAGCAGAAGTGGGTCTCCCGTCCAATCCTACAGCGTAAGCTTGACCTGCGCTCAAATTTCTGCCTGTAGCAAATTCCAAGTCTCTAGCTACTGCGTTCCTGCTAGCGGAGGAGGAACTCTTGAGATGACCCAAGGCCAACTCTTCCTCGGTCAGCATTCTACCCCCTTCACTGGTGGATGCGCTCTGATTTCCTCGCGCCACAGCGATCGCTCGTTCGCGAGCCCGACGCTCGATAGACCCGAGCGGTGTGGAGCGCTGTCGACGTCGAATACGCCTGATGACGAACCACAACAAGAGTGCGAGTAGGGTGATCGCTACGACGATTCCGATCACTATGCCCGCTATAGCGCCCTTTGAAAAGTTCTGGAACACGGAGCTGCAAAGGGGCGTGCGTGTGCACCGCCGGAACAGCACAGGTGGGATGAAAGGTGAGCGGTCGACGATGTGGTGGAGAAAAGTGGAAAGCCAATGGTCCTTGCGCTTACTAGTCTGGATTTTCTGGAGAGGCAGTGGAGCTGGTCGCTGTGCTCGAATCGCTCATTTTAGCTTGGCCCGTAATTCCGTCGTATTCAGGCAGGCAGGCAGGCAGGCAGGCAAAAATTGGAAGGATGCAAAGATGAGAGTGTCAGCGCGGGAACGTCCCGGATTTTGGGAGAGGGGATGTTGGGATGATGGAGGAAGACGCAGTCAGGAAGGGCTGCTTGTCAAAACATGGCTAAAGAATGCGGTTGTCGGGAGCGATGATCACACACAAACGCCGCTCATTTGTGTTGTTCTTAAGCGCCGGACAAGGCCCCGCCCGATTGATTCATTTCAGTGGTTTGGGCCGAAAGTCGTTTGCACATCCCCATGTCCACGCGGTCTCAAGGCTGCTGGAAGGTCAAACGTGGCTGTGCTAGCCGATCCTCCCAGCATCATCGAGCATGCACCACGGCGGTTTAGCCTCTGTCTTGCTAGCTCGTGACTCGTGACTGTTGGGTCTCCCGACTCGCTCGCACGCGCACGCAGCCAAAAACATTCACACCGAGCGCCAGTCGAGGTCAGCTTCGGGCCCGCCCTACAAGATTCGGACAAGGGCTGCTGCCGCCGCTGTCATCACCAGTCCAACCTGTGTATGACCCTGCTCGAGAGGCGTGGTTCACCATCACTACCGGACGGTAGCAGCACCAGGGGCAGCTAGCCGCTAGCCGGCAGAATCTATTCGGAGATACAGTATGTGCATATAATATTTGGTGATAACGGCGTATTTTGCCGTACCAAGATTCGACAAATCAAATGCAGTACTGACACGGCATTATGCGCCGTATTGTGCTGCGCGCCCTGTGCATTATGCACTTTAATCACATCAATTGAAATGTTACATGCACACATCTCCCAATAAGTTCTGTCCAGCTAGCCGATGCACGGCAAGCAAGGTCATTCACGTGACTGGCCCAATCGCACGCGAATCTTGAATCGCAAATGCTCAAGCGACTCTCTATTTATTGACTCAAAACTGAATATGTAATGACTCTACCACTCTTGATTTCTTCATCATCAAGACTCGATCGTGCCGGCGCATGCAAAGCGTGCATCCACTCCGTATGAGTCACCTTGATACACGAATCTTGACTGCCATCACCTTCTCCTTGGTCAGGGGCCCAGTGGCGCGCAGCTCCACCACCAACGAGTCAGCCCGAGCATCATGGCTTCTTACGCTGACGAGCTACTGGCGGATCTAGGATCGGACTCGGAGGGTTCTGGAAGAGAGTCGCCAGAGCCCGTAGGGGGCAATGGTTCAAACGCGCAAGCACCGGGTGCGGGCGTTGGAGAGGGGAGGGAGGAGGACATGGAAGTGGATGGGGCGGAAAGCCAAAAGTTGATGAATGTTCCAGAGGGAGGGACGCGACCCGCGGAGGAGATGGATCAGCAAGAGGTGGACAGGATGAATTTGAAGGATGTGCACAGCGTTCGGGGTGTCGCCAAGCTTTTGCAGGGGTCAAAGTTGCAGGAGACGCTCAGAGTAAGTGCTTGCATTAGCTGCGAGGAGGTGGCCAAGAGGTTTGGACTAATGCGTCTCTGTGCGACTCCTCAGGCTATCGATGTGTACATCAACCAACCGGGGCCTTCAGCCGAAGGTGCCAATCAAGCCATGGCGGCTTCTTCCGAGGACTCGGACGAGTACCGCTTGATCGTCAAGTCCAACAATCTGGCAGTGGACATCGATAATGAGGTGCTCATTGTACACAAGGTGAGTACGAGGGGTTGGCATTGGGCCAGGAGTTGTCCCGCTAAATAGACTGTCGCTGATGCTCCACGCACAGTATATACGAGATCACTACGCCCCTCGCTTTCCAGAGCTAGAATCGCTCATTCCCAACCCTTGGGATTTTGTGCGCGCGGTACAAGCTTTGGGAAACGACGAGGTGCGCGGGCGCCGGTCATCGCTTCGAATGCAAATGCAAGACGGCTGACCTCCCATTCGCACTCTCGCAGAGCCTCACCAAAGCTTCCTTGGAGCAAATTTTGCCACACGGCACGGTGGTGGTGATCAGCATGACGGCATCTACCACACAGGGCAAGCCTCTATCTACTCAAGAGTGGCGCCGGGTCGAAGAAGCGACAGAGTCGGTTTTTGAGCTCGAGGCAGCTCGTAGAAAGATCTTGTCCTACGTCGAGAGCAGAATGACTTTGATCGCGCCTAATCTGAGCGCTGTGGTGGGCACGCGAGTCGCCACCAAGCTGCTAGGTGTCGCTGGAGGTTTGACGGGCTTGAGCAAGATTCCCGCTTGCAACGTACATGTGAGTGGCGCGCTTTAGCGTGGTGTGATGGCGGAAATTGACTATGGCAAGCTCCTTGCGCGCAGCTCCTCGGCGCATCCAAAAAAGCTGCCACTGGCTTCTCGACCGCTTTTCACAATCGACCCGTTGGCTTCATCTTTCAAGCGCCGCTCATACAAGAGGTGGGCGAGGAGTATCATCGACAAGCTCAAAGGATTGTCAGTGCTAAAGCAATGCTGGCCGCTCGAGTGGACATGAATGGCTCGGACAAGTACGGCAGATATGGCGCGAGGATTCGCAAAGAGCTGGAAAAGAGATTGGAAAAGCTTCAAGAGCCACCGCCAGTCAAGATGACCAAAGCTCTGCCAATCCCGAAAGAAGGTGGAAAGAAACAGCAGAGAGGAGGTAGGAGAGCTAGAAAGTTGAAGGAGATCAATGGAACGACGGATTTGAAGAAGCAGCAGAATAGGATGGAGTTTGGCAAGGCGGAGGATGAGGCGGGCATCTTTGACGAGACGGTGGGATTGGGCATGATGTCTGCTGGGCAGACTGGACGTGTGAGAGCCAAAGTTGCCAACAAGGCGCACGCTGGTGAGTCATCGACGTCTGTGCATAGAAATTGTGTCCGCGCCTGACTCGAGACTCCCTCTTCACTTTGACAAGCCAAAATGTCAAAAAGCAACAAGGACCGGCTGGCAGCTCTGAAGGGCAGATCGGCCGCTTCTGCATTGGACGCTGGCGGCGAGTCGTCAGGTACAGCTTCCAGTCTGTCCTTTACCCCGGTGCAAGGTATAGAATTGGTCGACCCTTCTCGCCAACGACGTGTTGATGAGGCGAATGCAAAGTGGTGCGTGACGAGACGAGGCGACGAGCGAGTGTAGCGGATCGCAAGTGGAACTGATGCGCAGAGTGCTCTTTCTCGTGACAGGTTCAAGGAAGGAACGTTCTCGCTCGCGCCTGGAGCCAGGGGCAATATTATTCCTGGCTCGTCAACTTCCGGTAGCGCTGCGCCTTCCGCACCAGGAAGTATGGGACCTCCATCACTCCCACCGACCAAAAGACCGCGGGTGGAGTAGCAGCTGGTTCATGTTGGACTTCGATCAAACTTGCAACTCTTTGTGTACAGTACTATACATGGCGCAAGCATCAGCGTGCGTTCTGTCACTTGGGACATTCCACCCTGCGCCTGAGCACCTCTTTAGCGGTGTTGAGATCATAAGTCTCCGCAATTCCGAGGTCTTGTTTGAGCGCGACCCAACCTCTCGTATCGTTTGCTGGGTCCTCATCGAAAAGAGCTCTAGTGGCACGAGCCAATGTCCACTTTTTCCTCGCATCGGTAGACAGAAGCTGGCTCCTCTGACGCTCCACGTGCTGGAGCGTACTGGAAGCGGTCGAAGAGGATGTCTGATCGACGTTGGCGGCGGAGAGATTGAGAAGAAGAATGGTATCGCGCAAATGACGCCAAGCTGCTTCGGGTTGTCTTCCTAAACCTGTCAATTGTCCCGAGCTAACTTGATCTTGCGCCAGTGTGGATAGGGAATTCAAAACGGACATCCAGCCGCTTGTATAGTCACGCTCGAAACGTAAAGCTCCTGCTTGATCAAATCTGTGTGATCCACCTACAAAAAGTGCAATACGTTGGACGCCATGCGATCAGTATGAAAGTGCAGCTGGACATCTCGCTAGCGGAAGACAGAGAGAGAGAGAGGAGAGCATAGAAAGTATCGCGATGGATGGACTTACCTGAAATGATGACTCGATCCACTATGTGCTGCGAGACATTGCGGGCAATTGAACGATAGATTGGAATGCTTTCGCTTGGTTGAAGCACTGGAACGAGATGGGAGAGGTGCGTTTCGAGCAGCGATAAGCTTGGTATGAGACTAGGTGTGGGTGAATCTTCTTCATCTTCATCTTCGTTCTGGTCCATGGCCGCTTTTGTTTCTTTTTGACCCTGTGCGATC